GTTAATTTTACCAGCCATTTTTAAATTTAGTTTCAGTTTTAGTCCAGTTTCAGCATCGCTTGTTAGTTTTTATCACATTTAGTCGACATCATCCCATTTTTATTTAGTCTAGTTTTAGTCGACTATAAGTCGAGCATTTTAGTCTTTATTTTAGTCCAAGAAAACGTAATTTTATTCGTTTAGTTTTAGTCAAAAAAACCTGTCAACATTTTAGTCTAGTTTTAGTCAGGACATCATTTTAACCTTTTACTTTTTTGTCAGCAGATAATATTTAACATTTCCTAAAATTATTTCACATTTCAACATGTTCTCTCATCTTTTTGATAAAATACACAATTTTAAGGAACACATGCAGACATGGAAGATGTTCTGACAATATTTGCATATTTATTTTGAACATTGTTAAGGTTCAAAGACACAAACACAAATGCTTGCATTAAGCAAAAATACACCGTCATTTGGCTATGTTAAGGAACAGGCTCTACCATTTGAATGTTATTAAAGACGGCACATGGCACACACTTAAAATCCAGAGCAAATGGATCAATTGGTTAATAACGCTCCACGTTATTAACTCGCGCTCGTGTACATCTTATGCCGCTCTGTCACACGGCCAGTTCAACCTCGTAATCAATAATAAAATCATTGTTCCCAGCGCTGCGTCACAGAATGTTCATAAAGCGCTCCCCATTCAGCGCTCAACACAGTTTGCTTCGCGCTCCACTCAAATCGCATGTATTTAAAAAAAAAAAAAAATCTGCATGTATTTTTATCTCACTTTTAGGTTAGACCACAGCCTTATCTTGCAAAGAACTAAAGACCAACAAAAACATTTTCCAAACAGAAATGTTTCATTTCAAATTACAAATTAGGACTAGCAAGAACAGGAATGTAGCATAGGTACACAAAACGTCCTGTAAAATTAAACGAATAAATGGGGCGGGCCTAATAATATGAATAAAAATTATATAAACAAAAATGCACATAAAAGTTTTAAAAGTAAATTATAGGCCAGAATTTTGATAAACTTTTCCCCAACGCACATGATAAAAATGTAAATGGCCTTATAACCAGTGTATAACTGCTGTAAAATTAAACGAATAAATGGGCCTAATAACAACTAAAATAAAAATATATACAAAAATGTAAAAAAAAAAAATATATATAGGCCCACATACATGTTTAAAATTAGGCTAATTAATTATTAGGCCAGATTTTGATAAGCCTAACTGATTTTTGCGCAAAACAAAAAACACAAAAAAACACAAAAAAATTTAAAATTAAACAAATAAATGGGCCTATTTATATAAATAAAAATCACCACATCAACGTGTTATTAAATACATTTCGGTAAATTAACTATTAGGCCACCAGACGCCGATATCTAACTGAATTTTTGCGCAGAGAGCACGTGGATGACAATTTAAATTGTCTCAAACTTAAAAAAAAGACAAAAAAAAGAATTGCTTTCCTTATCTAACCTACAGTTCTTGTGAGTTCACCTTCAAGAATACGAGTTTGGACAATGTCTGAGGCTTCAGACACATGCGGTGGTTTCTTGAAAGCAGGGCAGCAGCCGAGAAAACCCTCTCTGCGCTCGCAGACTCGCTTGGGGATGCTGAATACAATGCAAGCAACTTTAGTCAGGCGGGGACGTGGAGTTTTCTCTTGGTGTGAGCGGAGCGGAGCGGGAAATAAGCCGACGTTCCTTCTTTTTAAAAATGCCACTCTGCGCTCTGTCCAAGATCCGCTCCACTCCGCTCACATGCTCTGCTGCGAATCAGCGAAAGTCCTCATATGCGATTCCAACTAAATCTATCCAGAGTGGACCAAGCTCGCCAAGATAGCCAGTGTAGTCCCTGTCTCGAGTGTTCCTGCAGAGCCAGAGAGAGGGTTCTCACTGCAGAATCGGATCAAGATGAAAGTAGCGAAGTCGCCTTGCAGAGAACAAGGTTACGCGGCTTATGCGCATTGCAAGTTGTGGAGAGACACTGCGAAGTTTTGATTTTAAGTCGGCAGCTGCACATTTCAGCACTGCAAAACAGCGTAAAAGTAGCTTAAAATTACGCGAGACAATGTTATAGGTCTAGTCATTTGTTTGTTCCAATTAATTTGACAAGGAATTTCACGGTGGCCAATTTAAATGTTACCAGCTAAATGAGACGCTACTGAGGGTGTATATAATTAAGTTCGCTTTAGTAAAAACTATATTCAGATATTTTATGTGGGGAAGGGGGATTGGTTTGTTTAACTAATGTGAAACCATAGCAAAAACAATTGGCGTTGATTGACGCCAATCGGACGTTCATGTTTTCATGGTTTACGTCTATTTGAAAGTTATGCTAATAAACATGTTGCATTCTATACGGCCTGATTATGTCATTTTTTAAGTTACATAGCCTGACTCCAGTTTTCCTCTTGACTAATTAAGAGGCGATATTTGACCGGCATATCATCAAAATGTCCGGTAAACTAAACCTCTGCCGGTCACTTTGACCGGCGCCATTTTTTTCTAGCGGAAACTCTGGTCTGAACCTATGAGCACCAGTGGACGTACCTTGTGAAAGGGCTGTAGTGGAACACCTCTTAGATGTGCATACCGTCTCTGAAGAGTCTGCACTGGGTATGACTGTTCCACCAGATCAATGCCAGAAGCCGTGAATGCTCCAAACACTTGATAGCGTTTCTCTGGTTTACCTCTTGCAGAGATTTCGAAGGTGACTTTTGAGCCATTAAGGTGAGTGGTGTCTGGACGGACTGTACGAAGTGCTAGAGTCTCAGGTTCACCTTTAAGCTGAAGCTGCTGGACAGCAGTAGGTAGGATCATGGTGCGCTGTGCTCCATCATCTAATATAGCATAAGTCTCTATTGTCTTTGCTTCGTGGTGCAACAGCACAGGCACCACTTTCAGAAGGACTCTGCCTGATGCAATGGATGGCAAAAGGTAGATTCTCTCTGAGGTAGCTGATGATGTATTGGTTGCACGACTTCGGGCCACGCCATGGAGCACTTGAAGGTGAATACCACCACAGTCACTGCAGGGTTTCTTCAGATTACAGGTCTCAGGCGCATGGGAACGGGCACATTACCAGCAGCGCTTCCCCTCTAAAATCCACTTACAAAGATCAGACACTGACTGTTCTTTAATACTACTGCATCGAGTGATATAGTGTTCTTTACTGCCACAGAAAAGGCAGTTGACTTTGAGGGGGGTCTTCTTCCAAGACACCTTAGAACCGGGGGATGCCGTGTCCTCCATGGCTGCTGCACCATGATACAAGGCTGTACTTTGGCTTCTTGGTTTAGATGCACTCTTCTCCCTTGAACCACTGGGATCACGTTCATACTGGTAACGTTGCACTAACCTGCTAGACAATCTCTGTTGCTGAGCTTTGACGTGGAGCCACCCTGCAAAGTCTTGTAGGTTGTACGGGTTAATACTGAGGGAGTTGAGCTTCCCTTGTAGCTGGAGAAACTCTATGAAACCATCTCTTAAGTACTTTGGCAGTTTACCAACCAAACGATCCACATGCGAGCAGCAGTTCAACTCCATCCCTCTGGGTCCCTCCAAAGATAACAGCATGCTCACTAAGAGGTGAACACGGAGAGCGAAACTCTGAAAACTGCGTGCATCATTTGGTTTTACCTCTGGTGCTGTGAGGATTGCTGCTATTTCGCTCTGCGCCAGCTGATGGGGTTGGCCATATTGTAACTGAAGAGCTTGCATAGCTGCGGAGTACGGGTATGGATGATGGCGGCAGGACTGGCCAATCATTTGTGCCTCAGGCAGTTTAAGGTGTTCCAGCAAGATATGGTACTTGTATTTCTCATCTAGCTCTGCATGAGGTTCAAGAAGATTGTCCAGTGCTAACTTGAGGTTAGCGAATTCCCTTTCGTTGTCATTCACAAAATCAGGAATCTTAGGCTGGGGTGCAGCATGCAAAGGGCGATGAGGCACCAAGTATTCTGGTCTCTTCAGTGGCTGGAGAGTGGATGGATGGAGGGAGGTGTCTGCAAGAGTAGGAATGCTCATGGCAGGAACTGAAGCACTGTGCAGGGTTTGAGGCACTGACGCTAATGGAGGCCTTGTCGCATAATGAGGAACTGAAAAACTGAATGCCGGTGGTGCTGCGACAGGTTGTCGTGGAGAAGATGCCACTGTTGTACAGATGTAAGGCACTCCAGGATGCTGGTAGGTTGGCGTGGGAGCTACTAGCTGTGGCTGCACCTGAGGCTGAAATGCAGTTCCTGCGTCATCATAAGGGCAGAACTGTGTATTAAGCAGTAGTGGCAAAGTGTCTGTTCTTGTAACATGTTGGTGTTGGGGCACGGAGGTAGGTAATGTACCAGATGAAAGTGGTGAGTACAAAGGGAGTGAATTGACTGGCTGTATTGGCACGAAACCAGGGTTAAAGTCCTCTGCCTCTACAGTAGGTGTGTTTACATATATTTGTGTGGCACTCACATGTCTTCGTCCTTTGGTATGTAACTCAATGTCAGGTGACTGTGTAGAAACAGGAAGAATGACTTGATAAGGGGGATGGATGAGGTGAGTTTCCTGGAGATGATCTCGGGGTTGGTGTGGCAGGCTTTACACTTTGCACCTCTTCTTCACCTTCTTCCATCAGGAATGATGTGATGTGTTTCATCAGCTCTTGACGCCGATGCTGTCGTTTTTCATACTGCTTGAGTTTGCTTTGAAGTGCAGCCATGTCAGCAGCTTCATCTCTTTCCTTCTCAGAGATAGACTTCATTAATTCCCTCAGTGAACTCATACTTAATAAGTCTGTGGAGCTTGTAGCTGGATGCTCACCCTGGCTGGAGTCTGGTCGTGATTGACTAAATATGCCCACTGCGGCTGCTGCTCCTCTCTGCTCCACTGGCACCTCTGCTGTAGGTGGGGAGGAAAGAGCAGGTCGGTGATGGCTGTAGTCAAGGAGATACTCCTCCAGATGTTTGGGTGTGCGACGATGCCGTGAGGGTCTGCCTGACATCTCAGCATGAGGGAAAGAGGTAGATCGCTCTTCCGATGACATCACTGCAGTAGTCAATGGATCCGGCTCGAAGGACCATATATTGGGGATTGCCCCACTGAAAACTGGTGGACTGCTAGAGAGAGTCAGAGAGTTTAAGTGTTTAATGCACAAGAGTGACCATACTGGTACATAGTTTCTGAAATAAATAACATAACAGAAATAAATATTCACTCACTGAATTATTCAACAACTTAAGATATTACAAACTCAAATATAAACATCTCTGTAGAGTGCACGGATACATGAAATATATTATAAATCAAGAAATATAGGCCTATTAATATGAATCTATAATAAACTGCATAATGCAATTAAATTGACAAACACCGAATGCAAGTTATAGAAATTGACGGTCTTCATTAGCACTGGCAGTACTAAATGGCAAAAAGTGAAAAATATTATCCACAGAGAAAGTCACTTCAAAAGTATAACTTGTAAATATGAACAAACCGCCATGCTAGCGGGATAATCTGCTCGTTAAGCAGGATCAAATTACCGTTAGAACGATCGCTAAACATAATAAACATTATCTAACTCAGCACAGATCGTCACATTGTATTTCAACTGCACTATTAACAATATAACTTACATAGAAGAAAACTTACTTTGTCATAAACTTTCTCTTGCACATGAACGCTGTACATGAACGCGTGCACAATATGATCGCTCAACTGGTGTGGCTTAGTGAATAGGCAATTACACTTAGTTCGTAAGTGCTGAGAACGCTGCACTACGTTATCTGCGTACAACGCAACTTAAAACGTCACCCACGTAACCAGCTCAATTTCTAAAGGGAGATAATTCGCAACAATTTAGGGACTTTAAGCAACAGCCTCTAGTGGAACGGCAACGGCATTCTGGCGTTCTATTGCGCATGCGCGACAAGCTGCTACTTCTTGACGTTCTACTGTAACCGTCTACTACGGGAGAACAGCTGATTTGCCGTATAGTCGTTACTGCGTGACAGATTAAGACAGTTAGGTTCTCTTACGAGAGGTTCTCTCGTATTGCGTAAGCTAGCTTACGCTACGGGAAAGATTCATCTTTGCTGAGAAGTTGAAGCCAAAAAATTATTCCATAATTTTGTAATCATTGTCAACGCAGTCTCTTCTGAGGCAGACCATGAGCGGGCTAGCTAGCGGCTCATTGGATCGCTCAGAGAGAATGCACGAACCTATGGGAGAGCGGCGCTGAGTCCGCGGCCAATGAGCGGACGGCGCTCGCTTACTGCGTCACAGCCCGCCAAAAGGGGCGTGGCTACAGTGTATAAAGGTCGCTCTCCCAGCTCGTTCGTTGATTCTTGTTCATTCAGCGAGCTACACGCATCCGCTGTTCTGGGAAGAAGCCGCCGTCGTTGAGAAGGCACCGTCTAGCGAGCTCCGGAGTCTGAGGAAGCCGGCCGTCTGCCACCTTCAGCCGCCCAGCAAGCTAGCGCCATCCGACGCGTATCCTTTCTTTATTATTCCTGCTAAAAGAGCACGAGCGTCTTTTTAAAGATGCCTCGTAATTCCTGCGGCTCTTGCCGCTCTCCGCTCGAGGATGGAGACCGCCACCCCATCTGCGCTCTCTGCCTCGGAGTGGAACACGCAGAACTCGCCCTCGCCAACGGAGGATGCGACCACTGCGAGGACCTGCCGCTGTCAACCCTGCGGGCTCGACTACAGGCGGTCAAAACCGCTCCAGCGCCGCCTCTAACTCGCCGCGGAAGAAGAAACGCCGCTCCCAGAGGCCGCCGGAGCCCTCTGCGGATCCATGTGGGCCGCCGCCGCCGCCCACCGACCGCTCTCCCTCTCCGCCCCTGCCGGACTTACAGTTGCCGCCGAGTGGCCGCTCTGTCGCCTCCGAGGACACCGCGGATGAGAAGGACTCTTGTTCGCTGCACGCTTCGGACAGCGAGGATTGGTCGTCGATCGGCTCATCGACTAGAGAGTCTGCGGGGACCCGCGCCGGCATCGAGGAGGAACTAACGCGCCTCCTTTCTCAGGCCGTTAGCCGCCTGGGTCTCGAGTGGTCTCCTCCCCCTGAGCAACCACCGAACCGCATGGATGGAAAGTTCCTGCACCGGCGCCCGGCCCCCGCTTGCAGCCGGGCTGCACCCTTCCTGCCTGAGCTTCACAGCGAGCTCACGAAGTCCTGGAATGCTCCTCTCTCGGCTCGTAATCGCTCTGATGTGTCCGCTTCGCTGCGCTCAGTGGACGGAGCTGCCGAGAAGGGTTATACTGCCATGCCGCCCGTCGAGGACTCGGTCGCCGCTCATCTCTGCCCGCCCTCTGCTAGATGGCGGTCTGCTCATACGCTTCCCTCAAAAGCGTGCAGAGCGACCTCCAACTTTCATGCCCGCGCCTATTCCGCCGCCGGTCAGGCCGCTTCAGCGCTGCATTCGATGTCTGTCCTCCAGGTGCTCCAGAGCGACATCTTGTGTGAAATGGCGAGCAGCGGGAGGCAACCGCTCGTCCTTTCGGATCTGAGAAGCGCTACGGATCTTTCCCTTCGCGCCACTAAAGCCGCCGCACAAGCTCTAGGGAGATGCATGGCCGCCCTCTGTGTCGCCGAGAGACACTTATGGCTCACGCTGACCGACATGGGAGAGTCAGAACGTGCCGCGTTCCTCAACGCGCCTATTTCCCCCACCGGGCTCTTCGGATCCGCCGTCACGGGCATCGTTGACCGCTTCTCCGAAGTTCAAAAAGCGACTCAGGCCATGAACTTGTTCCTGCCCCGCCGCTCGAGTTCTTCGACGGGCCGTTCTCACGAGCCGCCTGCCAGAACCACACAGCAGCGCCCGCCTCAGCAAGCTCAGCAGCCCCAGCGTAGACAGGGCGGCCGCCCTCGCTCTCGCTCAGACAGCCGCCGCAGACAGCCTCCGCCCCGGGGGCCTCGACCCAAGATCACGCTGAAGCCTGATCAACAGAAGTCTGCCTAGCACAGCTGAGAAAAAGACGGTTTTCTCCCGCTGCGGCCGGACCGCCGTCAAAGCTTCGCCCACTGTTAGTCCCCGTCTCACCGCTGACTACAGTAGTGTTTACCGCCACAAACAAGCCGGTTTCCCTGCCCGCTTGCGAGCGACTAAAAGCCGTTTTCACGGCTACCCAGAGAGTTCACAAAAAGAGCATAAAAGCCTCAAGTGTAAAAAATGTGCCCACAACCATGTGCTCACGTACACACACAAGCACTTTATGCCCAGGGTCTCTCGCAGAGCCCATTCTCACGGAGCGTGCACTTTCCGCTCCAGCAGCAGAGAACATAAGCACGCCCACGAGCCCGTGCGCGTGTCCCCCCTCTGCCCGCTCTGTCTCAAGGCCCTTAAACTCCTCTCTGAGTGTAAGTCCCGTTGCCTTCCACATTATAAGCGAGCCCACACCCAGTGTCCAGCCCGCAATGTGCAGCAATCAGGGCGAAATCGCCATTCAACCACTAGCCGTATGCTACAAAGCGTGGGAAGCCATCCCCGGCATCTCCCCGTGGGTTTTAAGCATAATAAAGAATGGTTATCGATTACAGTTTCGTCGCCGCCCGCCACGCTCGCGCGTGCGGCTCGAATCCACTGTCAGCCCGGCTGCTATGAACACGCTTCGCTTAGAAATAGCCAAGCTACTGCAGAAGGGCGCTATAGAGAGAGTCCCGCCATCTATGACCGAGTCGGGGTTTTACGGCCGTTATTTTCTGGTCCCCAAGAAAGACGGCGGCCTCAGGCCGATCTTAGATCTCAGGGCTTTGAACAAAGCGCTCATGAAGAGACCGTTCAAAATGCTCACAGTCAGGAAACTCCTCGCGCACGTCCGCCAGGGGGACTGGTTCATCTCTCTAGACCTGAAAGACGCCTATTTTCAGATCCAGATAAACCCTCATCACAGGCCATTCCTACGTTTCGCCTTCGAGGGCCAAGTTTACCAGTATGCCGTTCTCCCGTTCGGCCTATCCTTAGCACCCCGTACGTTCACGAAGTGCATGGATACAGCGCTCGCCCCCCTGCGAAGTCAGGGGCTGCGCATACTGAATTATCTGGACGACTGGCTGATTCTAGCAGATTCCCAGACGGAGCTGCTGTCGCACCGCACAGTTCTCCTCAACCATCTGGAAGCGCTGGGACTCTCTGTCAACTGGACAAAGAGCTCTCTCCAGCCCAGTCAAACTATTTCGTTCCTCGGAATAGATTTGAACTCTATCACGATGACGGCTCGCTTATCCACACAGCGCGCGCGCCGTGTTCAGCGCCTAGCCGCCTCGTTTCAGATGGGTACCCTTACATCCCTGAAATCGCTTCAGAGGATGCTGGGTCATATGGCTTCAGCCTCCGCTGCGCTACAGCTGGGTCTCCTGCACATGCGCCCCCTTCAATTCTGGTTAAAGAGCCGCGTATCCCACCACGAGTGGACGACGGGCCGCCAGATGATCAGGATTACTCAGACTTGTATCACTGCACTGCAGCCATGGGCAGCAAGCGAGTGGTTTCAGAGGGGCGTTACCATGGGAACATTCTCTCGCCGGAAAGTCATCTCGACAGACGCATCCAACTCGGGTTGGGGAGCGGTTTGCGAGGGCTCACCGGCCGCCGGCCAGTGGTCGAGCCACGAGAGTTCCTTACACATAAACTGTCTGGAAATGATCGCGGTCGAGAACGCGCTGCTGTGCTTCCTCCCGCGCATAAACGGTCACCACGTCCTGATTCGCTCCGACAATATGGCCGTGGTATCATACATCAACCGTCAGGGCGGCGTCAGATCCAAGAATCTCTTTCATCTGACACGCCGCATCCTATTGTGGTCCCAGAGTCACCTGCTTTCGCTCAGAGCGACGCACGTGCCGGGCCATCTGAACGACGGTCCAGACAGGCTGTCCAGGAACCTGGTCTCCCCCGGAGAATGGTCCCTGCACACTCAAACAGTCCAAACACTGTGGCGCCTATTCGGCAGAGCGGAGATAGATCTTTTCGCGTCAGAAGAGAACGCTCACTGCCCAATATTCTTTTCAAAGAGCGAGGACGCGCTAGCCCAGGATTGGCCCCGCCGCCCGCTCTATGCTTTTCCCCCGATTTCTCTGCTACCGCAGGTCATTCAGAGAATCAGGGACTCACGCCACTCGGTGCTCCTCATAGCCCCGCGCTGGGAGAATCAGATTTGGTTCCCGGAGCTAACGCGGCTGTCACAGACAGCCCCGTGGCCCATTCCAATCAGAGCAGATCTCCTCACTCAAGCCCGCGGCTCGATCTGGCATCCCCATCCACAGCGCTGGGCGCTTCATGCATGGGTGACCAACGACTACGCGTCGAATTGCCAGAAGGGGTTTTGAACACGATCAAACACGCCAGAGCGGATTCTACCAGAAAGCTCTATGCTGCAAAATGGTCTGTGTTCTCCAAATGGTGCACCGACAAGAATTTGGACCCACGGACGTGCGAGGTTTCGTCTTTGCTAGTGTTCCTTCAGGAGATGCTGGATAAGGGCAGGTCCCCATCCACTCTTAAGGTTTACGTGGCAGCCGTCGCGGCGTTCGCTGAACCCCGGCGCGCCCAGTCTCTGGGCAAAGACGAGCTTATCATCCGCTTCCTCAGGGGAGCCAGAAGGATGAACCCCCCTCGCCCCCCTACGGTGCCGGTCTGGGATCTTTCTATAGTTCTAGAAGCTCTGAAAGCCCCACCGTTTGAACCACTTGAGTCCGTGGAGCTAAAATACCTCTCGTTAAAAACCGTTCTTCTGACGGCTCTCGCCTCAGTAAAACGTGTGGGGGACATTCACGCGCTGTCTTCGAGCGCCGCGTGCCTAGAGTTTGGACCGAGTGACTCCATAGTCATTCTAAAGCCTAGACACGGTTATGTTCCAAAAGCGATTGGTACCCCTTTCAGGGCGCAAGTGATCTCTCTATCGGCGCTGCCGGCATCCGATAGCGAACGTGACGCTCACCGCCTCTGCCCGGTTCGGGCTATCAGAGTGTACACTACACGCGTTGCCGCGTTCAGACGCTCGGAGCAGCTGTTTGTGTCGTTCGGTGGCCGCACCAAGGGACTAGCCGCCTCGAAACAGACCCTATCCAGGTGGATAGTAGACGCGATTGCCTCTGCTTATGCCGCTAAAGACCTGCCTTGCCCTCTGGGCATCAGGGCTCATTCCACCAGAGGCATGGCCTCATCGTGGGCATGGTCCTGCGGGATTTCCATCCACGACATTTGTGTGGCTGCGGGATGGGCTTCCCCCTCCACCTTTGTCAGATTTTACAACTTGGAAGTTCCAGCCTTACAGGCTAAAATTCTGGCGGTCTAGTACTCACAGCCCTCCTATAGAAGCCGCACTATCGGGAGTTCCATCACAACCGTTTCACCCCTTGTGTTCCCCTATGTGCTTATGCATTAGCCTTCACATCACGGCCCGCCTTCGCCGGCCGCCTTGGGCGTTTTTGCACTAGATAGTAACGGCCGCTATCTGGCCGCCGTATTATCTTCATCCACTTATAGATTCCCCCGGTGTTCCCCTGGGATGCTTAGTGGTTACTTAGCGCGCACGGCGTTGACCAGGTGTTCCCGTAGCGTAAGCTAGCTTACGCAATACGAGAGAACCTCTCGTAAGAGAACGAATCGGTTACCTAACGTAACCTCGGTTCTCTCTAGATGAGGGAACGAGTATTGCGTTCCCGGCCGTGCTTGCGCCACCAGCGTTTCGCTTCATGCTACAGAATCAACGAACGAGCTGGGAGAGCGACCTTTATACACTGTAGCCACGCCCCTTTTGGCGGGCTGTGACGCAGTAAGCGAGCGCCGTCCGCTCATTGGCCGCGGACTCAGCGCCGCTCTCCCATAGGTTCGTGCATTCTCTCTGAGCGATCCAATGAGCCGCTAGCTAGCCCGCTCATGGTCTGCCTCAGAAGAGACTGCGTTGACAATGATTACAAAATTATGGAATAATTTTTTGGCTTCAACTTCTCAGCAAAGATGAATCTTTCCCGTAGCGTAAGCTAGCTTACGCAATACTCGTTCCCTCATCTAGAGAGAACCGAGGTTACGTTAGGTAACCGATTCGTTATGTGGCATTGAAATCGTTTCTGTATATCATTAAGTGCTAAAATCAACCATTCTCTTTCTTTTTAAAACCACTTTCTTTTTGTATTTTGTCTGATGATTAAATTATTCCCTATGCCGTCCTCTTTACTGTTAGTGATTTTTGCGCTCTTTAACTACGGCAGTTTATTTCCGGCTGCCGTCGCCGTTCTATCAGCAGCTGGCTACGGTCTGGTTAAAACCTTATTTGTTGAAGAAAACAGTCACCACCGTAACCAACCAACTGGAAATGGCACGCGATACCAACACCTCTTGGAAAACAACCATTATAATCAGTACCTCACCTCAGGTTGTTTTTTTCGTGTTACATTAGCTGGCTACGTTTGCTGTTTACGATGATAGCTTGAAGTTATCATAGCTTTAAGTAAACTATTTTTATTTTATTTTTTTTCAGTTTTTGATTATATTATTTGGCTTAATGACAGACAGAATCACACTTATTTATGCGCGTATCTGCTTTTATTTTGTATTGTCTTCGCAGTGTGATGAACCCTCACAGATTCTTGCGCAGCAGCACAAGATTCGCCGCTCGGACAACATTCTGGCCTCTTCTTTTGTTTTTCCCTTGTCAGGTAAAAAGTAGTTAAACTTCATGGGTAAATTTAATCCATAGATGATGTCCTACTTGACGAAAACTTACGGGCAATGTGTAGTTCTAGTTCTAGTTCAGAACTGCTGTCCTTCACAAATACCCCTTTTCCACCAAAAAAAAAAAGAACTGGTTCGGAACAAGTGCTGGTTCAAAGTTTGTTCGGAGACGGTTCAACTTGCGAACCGCTTCAGAACCTATTTGTTTTTCCACTGACTTTTTTTTTTAAGGCTTTATTTAAACATTCAGTTTACAGAGTAAAACAACATAACAACAACAACATAATAGCACAGTTTAGATTTATTTTAATCTATGTAATTCCCTCTTTTTATTTTTATTTTATTTTTTATTTTCATGTATCGTTTTTCCACTGACTAGAGCGCCCAGGGAACGACGTCGTTACTGAGTACGTCGCCACGTCTTAGGTCTTAGCTAGAAACGCTTGCAAATACAACATACTTTCAGATTATCTCTAACTCGTATACCAAGAAAGCTTTAAAAACAATTGAAATACATAAGTCTTTTAATCTTTTCGTTTGATATGTAATTTTTTTCTGATAACCCAGACAGCAAACTGACATTGAATCAACGTGGAAACGACGTCTCTCATGACATTGAAACAACGTTGATTTTGCTCATCGAATTAACGTTGAACCAACGTCAGACGCGGCATTCTTCAAAGCTAAATGAAAATCGAAAATTGGTTTGCTTTCATAACGTTGAAACAACGCGTTGATTTCAAGTTGATTTTCCGTTAGTTTTGAAAGAATGACGCATCTGACGTTGGTTCAACGTTAATTCGATGAGCAAAACAATGTCAGATCAACGTTGTTTCGATGTCATATTTCCACGTTGATTCAATGTCAGTCTGCTATCTGGGAAGTTAGCCTATATGTACCCCTGTAATTGTGTCTTTTTTTCTTTCCATTTATTTGTTCTATATTGTGACTTTTCTTCTTTGCTTATGTCTTCAATTTAAAAAAAATACAAAAATAGTAACGCTTGCGTTAACTTCAAGCATAACAATTACAAAGGCAGACTCCATCGTGTTACTGCAAATGTTTCTTTTGGCTTTGTGATCCTTTATTATGGTGAGAAAAGATGTTTAGAACACATCTAAACCCGCCCCAGCCCCCGACGTAAGCATGACGTGGTAAAAGAACGGTTCTAGTCCAGCAAAGAGTTGGTGCTGCTTTGGAACCAGTTCTCCTGGCCGAGAGATATCTTAGCCTATATAATGATATATCTAGATATATATCTAATGATAGATATAATGAGATATATATCTTATATAATATCTTATATAATGACAGTGATCAGTGACTGACATGCGCTTGAGAAATCGTAGTCGTAGTCCACATCGCTGCGAGAATATTCGAGATAGCCTACATGGGAGGGGTGAATATTGGATTCTTATGCTCCTTTTTCGCTCTGAATAGATATTTGTTAGTGTCTAATATTGAAAGTAAACTTTGTTAGCATTATTATTATTATTTAAACGTAATGCAGCCCATTAGTGAGCGGCAGTAATGACAATATTTGTAGCCCAACCCGGAAGTTAGCATCACCCTGGCTGGTTCCCTTGGTAAAAAAAAAAAAAACAAAGGAAAGAAAAAACCCAATAGGGTTGTTGTAGGATCATTGGCTTTTGGGTTATTTCAGAAAATAAGTTATGTGGCCAAAAAAAAAAAAAAAAGTTTCTCACTTTTCGTTTTTTCCACATAATGATTATCTTCAAATAAGAACAACTTTGATACATTTTGAACCCTAAATTCAATTGGCAGAAGTGAATAGCTGGACAAAGACTATAGATAGTCCCATTTAGTCACTTTATCAACAAAAAAAACTCAAAAGGGTATTATTCTGCAAAAAATGCAGCTGTCCAGGCTGGTAGTGGTAGTTTAATGGTGTGGGGGATATTTTATTGGCACACTTTAAGCCCCTTAGTGCCAATTGGGCATCTTTTAAATGCCACGGCCAACCTGAGCATTGTTTCCGACCATGTCCTTCACTTTATGGCCACCATGTACCCATCCTCTGATGGCTACTTCCAGCAGGATAATGCACCATGTCACAAAGCTCTAATCATTTAAAATTGGTTTCTTAAACATGACAATTAGTTCACAGTACTAAAATGGCCCCCACAGTCACCAGATCTCAACCCAATAGAGCAACTTTGGGATGTGGTGGAACGGGAGCATCGTGCCCTGGATGTGCATCCCACAAATCTCTATTAACTGCAATATGCTATCCTATCAATATGATCCAACATTTCTAAAGAATGCTTTCAGCACCTTGTTGAATCAATGTCACGTAGAATTAAGGCAGTCCTGTAGAGGGGGTCAAACACAGTATTAGTATGGTGTTCCTAATAATCCTTTTGGTGAGTGTATGTAATTATCTCTGTTAGGAAACCACTTAAAAGTTCAGGCAAGCACTTACACTGTTACAAAGTACAGACGACAGAAATATTGTAGCAAACTCTTAGAGTTTGAAATTTTATTCTTAGGTCAGAATTTTTAGAAAAGTATGATGAACTGTATTTATTTACGGTAGAACCCTTTTCACATTTCCAGAATTCTCAAAAGTGAACTCATAGTTGAGTTAACTTTTATAGTGGTGAACAGAAGACTACAGCAAAAAATATGATTTTAGCTCTCACAATTGTCCCAATATTAAAAGAAAAAATCCACAATAGCCTTTCCATGACTTTCTAAAGAAGGTAACAAAAGAGAGAGGGAGAGAGGCAGTCATAAGGGAAAAAGATGTTTCAGTTTCAGAAAGACCTTTACAGCAGTGATGCCTAGTCTTTAGTAATTTAACGCCAAGGATATATTACGTATATTGTTGTTAATGTACATAAATACAAAATTTTAATATAAAAAACTACATTATGAAGTTAATCTGTGGAAAGAGCATGCAAAAATAGATCCCAGGTGTACGCTGAAGAGTTGCCTTCTCTTCACTTTTCTGTTACACAGGTACGGCTTTCTTACTGGTCACATTAGAGGAGTTTTCAGCCAAGCTTGAGAATACAGAACTTTTTGAGAGAATTGAGAAGCTTATGAAGGTCCATAGAAACAGTTTTCTTCTGCTTCAAGCTCCAGTCTATGGAAAAAGAGAGTGGGACATATTGTCATCAGTGCAAAACAGGTGCATGATCAATTCAAATCTACAAATATACAGCATTATTTTGAAAGCATACATTACATACAACCAGTCAGAATTCTAGACATATGGAAGAACTGTCCACTTTGTGGAAGAACTCAGTTCTGTCCAGCAGCAAATAATGGTGTAATTCTGGTATTTTTTAAATTTTTGGAACAGATTCCTTGGCTGTAACCTCAGAGTCATACCCGTGCATAGTACTGCTGATGTAGTGAAGGGAATGCTGATCATCGCTAAGGTAACTTATGATGTCTTGCACTTCAGTTTGATTTTTCTTTATTGTTATCATTTTCTAGTAATGTCTTTATTTCACGAATGAATGCTGTCTAAACGCGAATTAAGTTAAGATTTTTAATCTTCATGTTATACTATAAAAACATTTATATTAAAGAAAAAATCATAATAATTTATCTTCCATATATCCACAAGTTTCCTACGCTCCATGAGGCCTTGCGTCAAAAGTGGGGGGGGTCTTCCGGTTCGAAGTAAACAAAGCGCGACTTGACATGCTTGACACTCGTTCATTCAACAGTTGACAGTCATTCAAGTTATAGCGATCCAAACTTGCTAACGAAGTGTGAACACAACCTCAACGAAATTCAAAAGGGTGAAATAACAGTACCTTTACCCTCCGCAGTAGTTGATTGGGAGTATTATAATAACATTATTAATAATCAATACTCATCAAGGCATGGTGACAGACAGTTGTGCGAGCTGACAAACAATTAAAATAAAAAATACACACTTAGTCATTGTGCTTTGGAGTTTATTCACAATTATAAATGAATGTGCTACTTGAATATATTAACTGGCACATTTGGTATTCTGTCAACTCAGGCTTTGATCCTGAGTTTAGGTGTAACATCAGTAGAGAACAGCCAAACACATGCTGATAGAGTTTATAGAATATTAAGAATTTAAACAAATGTACACAGGAAGATTCGTCGTCTTTTGGGAGGTGATGGAAACTACAGTCGTTGGCAGGATCAGAGACGGGCTCTGGCAGGATCACTCTGATTTCGTTTTCAGCTTATGTTAAAAAAAATCACCCAAAAATGAAAATTAAGTCATTAATTACTCACCGCCATGCTGTACCAACCCCGTAAGACCTTCGTTCATCTTCGGAACACAAATGAAGATATTTTTGATTAAATTTGAGAGCTTGATTACTCCTCCATAGGCTTCTAAGGGACTTGCACTTGACGGCCCATAAAGTCATTAAAGAAAATGTTTAAATATTCTATGTGCCTACAGCGGCTGGGCCGTCAAGTGCCAGTCCCTTAGAAGCCTATGGAGGAGTGATCCAGCTCTCAAATTTAATCAAACATATCTTCATTTGTGTTCCGAAGATGAACGAAGGTCTTACGGGGTTGGTACAGCATGGGGGGTGAGTAATTAATGACTTAATTTTCATTTTTGGGTGAACTAACCCTTTAATGTCCTTTTTATTCCAGGCCACAAGTAAACCCAAAGTGGAGAATTTGAGAGATCAGATGTCTTTGGCTTGTGCTCGCATCGTTGATCATAGCCCAGTTTGGGGGATGCTTCAAGAGATGCAGTTCTAGTGCTATTTATGTTCTTGTCCATGTATCTTCTTTATGTTTGCTATACTTATTTTTAACAGCAGATGTCAGTATTGTTTCATAGTAAGGTGTGTAAAAAACTGTTAATTGCCATTCCTACTTCTGTTCATATCCTTGTAAAAAAACTTTTTCCTTCATAATAGCAAAATAGTTCATAAACCATTAAAAACTAAGTATAAACCTTGCTGGAAAAGACTTTCAGAGTAGAATACAGTTTTGAAAATATCGATTTTGTAGTTCTCAGTCTCACATTGTTTTTTATCATTGCAAAATACAGCATGGTTCAGAGAACGTAAATAAATACATTATTCAGTCCAGACCACAATAATTGTCCCTACTTGTTCATTTTTGACCCTCTTCTATGATCTCCTCTATACGAACCACAAGGCTTTCCATTAAGTCATATGTGACCAGGGCACACTGCAGGACCTGCAAATGATATATTTATTGTTATGTATGACTTATTGTTACTATTTTTAAACTGAATTAAGATAAGTTGTAAGCCTACTGATAATCTAACCTTATCCTGTGCCTCGCGTGGCATGCTGCCAAGTGTCTCATTTTTCACAATCAAGCTCTGAACTGATCTCTTCCCCGAGGCCTCCTTAAATTCTGTGGGGAAACAAAGATGTTACTACAAGTCAAATTCTATTTTTTTTTTTTATCACTACATAATATATACATTTAACTGAAAAAGAACACAAAGCATGTATTACCTTTAGCCTTGATCTTTTTATCCTCTCTAAGTCTTTTTAACTCTTTTCCATAGTATGATTTTGACATGCTTAGACATACTCGTAATAATTTTGTGTAACTTTCTGCAATGTGGCACAGGTCTATCCATATTCCAGTCTGAAAATAACAGGTGGTTGGTCTTATTAACAGAACATGATGAAAATATAAGTAAAGTGTTTTGATAAACTGTTGTATAAAAAATCTTACGGAAATTTCTCTTTCATTTATCAATAAATACCGCAGAAGATTCAGAGACTCCATGACCCTTTAAAAACAATCAAGAAGAAAATATTAATATATTAAATATTACATTATATATATATATATATATATATATATATATATATATATATATAAATAATAATAATCATTTTTATTTCTTAGTCAAAAATTGTCTTCAGATATTTCTAGTACTTTATACAGAAAGAGTTACGCACAAGAAGTGCATATAATGGTAAAAGCTGACCATCAGCAGGATGAAGCAAGGCCTAAGTAATTTATCAGGGACAGATTATTCAAACGAGGTATGTCAATCACTCAGGTTTTAGTATCATTTTTGGAATGACACAGGATCTGCCTCAAAAATTGGACTACCGGTACTCACCATCTGTTCTGCGTTGTGGGATCATGGCAGTAAACCCGGACTATACACTCATAAATAAATTATGGTTAGGGATGGATTGTATTTAGTTAGTAGGAGATCTAACATTTAAAGTAGAGACAGCTGCCATACGTGGATTCTGTACTTGGGTTACGATTCATGTCAATGATTTGTTGATATGAAAGTTGATTAGCTCCATCAAGATGTAGTTATGTGCATTCAGTGGCTTGTCAGGCGATTGTTTTCCTTTAGTAAAAGCTTTGTAAAAATACAGGTCTTGTTCACCTGTCCATGCCATGTAGCAAGTCAGTTTCATGGCCCTGTGGGAGAGTGATGGTGTCTCTGAGCAATGAAATGAGCCATGTCCCCTCAAACCAGCCATCCTTATAGGCTGACTTCAAGAAAAAAAGAAAATAAACATTTCTAACATCAGTGATTTTAGAGTTAATAACAATCATATCAATTGGACAAGTTGGCATTTAAGCATGTGATTCTTGAATATATCCGATTGTTTTGTACACTACCTTTCTGCATAGTTCCACTTGATTCCTTATGTTTTTGATGATGATACTTTCGACCCCTGCATGATGGCTAGTCTTCATGATGCGTCTTAGAGAATTCACAAAGAAGAAATAAGCAATTAATACCCAGCGATGTTCTGACTTTTTATATTTACATACACCAACAGATTCCATTCAAATTTTGATAGCACATTTAATTAAACAGATTCAAACTATCTAGATACCATACCTGAAAAATCTGTGCTTCGCTTCACCATTAAGCCTCTCTATAAAGAGCTGGAACACCACAAGACTTCTTGCTCTCTTAATGAAAGAGTTCAAATGACAGCAAACATAAAACTGACTTTAATTCACATATATCAGAATTAAATGCAAGTTGTGTCTCATCTATACTCACCAAATGCTGGATAGGACAGTCAATCATAATTTTAATTAAGTTCTGTGAACAAATAACAAAAGTTCTCTTGTAAGTTAACATTGAAATTTTAAAAAATAAACATTGCTGAAAACACTTGTTTTCACCAGGGATTTGTCAATTATTCAATTTATAGGGAAAAGAAAAACTGATATGGTACTGATATATTGTGCTATATATTGTTCAGTTTTTAGATACACAGTACTGTATAAAACACAATAGTACATTTTCAACTCAAAATGTATTTGTTTTGTTTATTCCATAGCAATACATAGTGTTGCATACCTGTGGAACCTCATGGAATGGTCTCAGTTCTAAGAGCTCCGCTGAAAGACTGTAGTCTGTTACTCTTTCCAAACTTTTAACAAATAAGTCCTTAAAATGCAAAAAGACATGGCTGGTAAGTTACTGCTCAGTACTGAAAATTTAAGTACATAATTTTCGGCACTTGTACTAATACTATACTAATTTTTGGTGGAATTTCACTTTACCAGTCCTTTCAAAATCCATGATTCATCCTTTCTGTATTGGGATACAAAGCAGGAAGGGAAGTTGGACTTAAATACATGGTACACTATGTTGGCTTTTTACTACTTAATTAAAAATTCAATTGTGTACACACCTACTCAACAGAAGATTGATGTATTCCATATTGCACTGCAGGACGAAAACAGGGCTGAAATAAAATGTCAAATTAAACCTACGTAAAAGCTCTGGTGCGTTAAAAGTATACCAGTTATTTAAAGCATTTTCACAAAGACACTGTAATTGTGCATCATAAAAAAAAATAATAATCGAAGCTTTAAACCCTTTTGGTGTATCTGAAGGCCTGAGCACAAAACAAGTTTTTAACTGCTTTTGAAATCCCACGAGATTTGTGGCCTAAACAGTTAACACTGTCTTTGAGTCTGGTAAACATGGCGAGAGGGGAAAAACACATATTTAAAGTTTTGAGGTTTAACTGCAACTTACCTAAAAACTGCAGGAAACACTTCTATGGCAACAAGCTGGACAAACAGCAAGTAAGCCATGCAAGCTCTTGATTCATTTGGTTGACAATCACCTTTCTCCAGTATATCATCTTCTTTCCCCCTCAAAGGATCGTAGAACAGCATTTTTGGCAGGGACTCTTGGATCTTTGCTAAGATTGCCTTGTATTAAGAAGCACAGAACCACTTAGAAGGTCATTCTTTTTCGAAAAGTACCATGCCTAATAGTTACAAGAATGTGACTGATATCATTACCATTATTTCTGTGGCAAAATTCCACAGGGGTGAAGTTTCTATCATGTTTGCCTCTCTGTCCAGCTGAACTTGGAGGAGAGGTTCACTTAGACTCTTCATGCAACTGAGCCATTAGAGAAAGAAAGAAATTTTCAGCAAGATTTTCAGACTTTTCACTTGACAGCGATCATAATTTCATTGTATCAGTACATTTTGATTACCTATTACGCTTGTTTAGAACAAAACTAACTAATATTAAAATCTATTAATAGAACAATACCAACCAATAATTATATTGCTTAAATGCCTTTGAACATTTAGATGTGTAGCGTCACTGCAGAACTGATAGACAGTGTGACAGCACTATAAATACATTATAGTTAAGTGTATTTAAATTGAGTGGATTACTTCTATCATTGGTTTTGTCATATTGCCCACCCCAGTAAAGCTGTTAGAAACATGTATTGTGAAAACCACAATACAAATAAATTGACTTGCCATACTTGGATGAATGGCTAATTTAAGCAGTACATATTTTCCATAAAACAAATATTGTGATTGCATTAGTAAGAACAGGTTTGAAAACATACAACTTCAGAAGAGCAGCCCTTAGTTTGGTGGACACTGAGGTTGTGTCTTGATTCTTGGCTTCCTGTACAAAGGGTTGTACAAAGGTCAGTACTGCAGTGCAGCATCGGCAGAGCCCATACACATCTTCCTGTTCCTGTTTGTGTGAGTAAGGTACAGGCAGTTTTGAAATCTGTTTCTGCAAAGAATCAAGGGCCAAAGCCAGTCCAGGGGCCTTCGACTCATTCATTCTCAACAGCACTGGAAAGGGAACAAACAGAAAATGTGTTAATTATTTATCGTTGCAGTAGAAGGAGCCGTGTTTGTTTTTGGCTTTTATTTTAAGTTAAAAACATGATTTTTATACTGGTTTAATTCAGTTACCTGACTGAATAAGAGGCATGAGAACAATTATGGAGTCTGAGATGGCATTTGGATCAGTGTTCTCCACTTGGTGAAGTAAAATATCGAGGAGGTCTTTAACATTGCAGATCTGCAATAAAAGTTGTGCTTATGTATTGTCTTACATATTTGTGTGATCATCATTATTTAAAGTATTTAAGGACCATATGTGACCCTGGACTACAAAACCAGTCACATGAATTGTTTGAAATCATATGAAAACTGAATAAATAAGCTTTCCATTGATGTATGTTTTGTTAGAATAGGACAATATATGGACGAGAAAATCTGGAATCTAAAGGTGCAAAAAAAACATTGAGAAAATTGAGAAAGTCGTCCATTTATGTTCGCGATTGTGCTGCTTTCACTCAGAGAAATAAATTATTTATATAGTTACATTAGGAAATTCACTTTTGACCCATACAATGTATTGTTGGCTATTTCCACAAATATACCTGTGTCCCGTGCTGCTTGTGACTGATTTTGTGATCCAGGGTCACACATTCGAGTAAGCACAATCTAACCTGTACAAGCTGATTGAGGATAGCTTGGCAGTGGGCAGGACTCCGGTCCTTTTTCAGCACTTCATTCACCAGTGCAGGCAGTAGGCCACTGCCCATCGACCTCACTATGTGCTAGAAAGACATTTATCATTTTACATTTTTACTTTAAATTAAACATTTTTCTATTTGCATATGTATGCCTACACACGTGTATTAGACCTGTATTCTTCACATGCCTGAAATACTGGCTGAAATCATTTGAAAATATGGTGTATATTTTGTTCATTTAAGCTCTGCTTTTAAACCGCTATGGCGTGTTATTTAGTATGTGCTACATGCATGGAAAAGTGGAGCAGTG